AATAATTCTTTAAAATTAAGCACTATATTATTATAATTATTTGTGATTTTTTTATTTATAGTAACATACCAAAAAGTTTTTATATTCAAAACCGAATCTAGTAGCAGCTCAAGAAAAATTGACAAAACCTTTATTGTCTATGTATTTTCATTAATAGATATGTCAAAAGGCTCAATTATCTCATAATTAAGGATTCGAAAACTATTTAAATAAATTGTTAGAATAGAAGTATATAAAAATTACTTTATAAACAACTTACAATCCCCTGATAACACATTTAATATATAGTGTTAGTCCTGTTATTTTCTCGAAAATGCTTGCACTTTCGTCACATATATCATCCGTCTTAGTATTGCTTATGGTAATATTTGAATTGCTATTGGTATTGATGGTTTCCATTGCAGTCTTTGTTAGAGCCTCAAAATTAATACATTCTATCGGTTGTATGATCTCATTGTCTACTAAAAGATGAATATAATTAACTTGCAAAGATGTTAATGTAAATAAAGAAATCTTCTGTGATGCATTCAGAAAATTAATATTTTCTATAGAGAAGATTGTTTTAATGTCATTATCATTTGTATTAATAATATTTGAAAAAATTTCATGATTATAATAAGAATCTTTTTCTTGAATTTGAATGATTGCTTCTTGCAAAGAATCTTCTATAGTTCGACCAGATGGTAACTTATTATTGGATTTTTGTAAACAAAGTATATTAATAAATATTAGTTAGTGTGTAAACAAAATAGAATATTTAAATATCAGGATTACCTGTTTTTGATTTTCCAATGATTCCCAGTTTGCTGATTTTTGTTCTAACACATCATCTACATTCATAATAAATTTGAGATCAGTTTTAAAAAGGGTTTAAAGTAAGATGAAATATAAACTATGCATGTCTAAGAAATCCTGCGCTTCAGGTGGAATCTTATTTTTATCAGATTTCACATATTGCTGGCACCAGCCTGACCAAAACTTCTTGATTTCATTTGAGGCTTTGTCTTCCTATCACATATAGCACTCAATAAGTATTATTTGTATAGATAAGTAGAAAAAAATAAAATAAAAGGAATGCTATACTTGATGTCTTTTCAGAGACTGACAAGCAAGCAATTAGATTAAAAAAAAAATGCTAGGCTCGCTGACTTTTCAGGGACTGACAAGTTAAATGATAAAAAATAAACAGAATTAAAGTAAAATGCTATGCTTGATGACTTTTCAGGGACTGACAAGCAAGCAATCAAATTAAAAGATATAATGCTAGGCTCGTTGACTTTTTAAGGACTGACAAGCTAAGCAATAAAATAATCAAAAGTAAAAAGGTATCTAAATTTTATAAATAATAAAATTATCAGGAAGGTTGTTTAACTATCATAAATGTAAGTCAAAAGCTTAAATAGTCTGAAATTACCAAGTAAGTATTATAAAGATTTTTTCGTATTTTCTCATCAAAAATAAGGTTTATATGTCTTTCATAAGTTTCATATTCATCTTTCCAATTAGTATCTTGTTGAGCTTGCTTGTATTTTTTTCTTTTTAGAAATTTTATCAGCTTCCACTCACAGTGAGGTTTTGCGAATTATAAAATATGATCCATTTCATTCGAATTCGATCCTGGCATTATCTTAGAAGGAGTGCTTAAATTGGACAAAGATCGTGAGGTGTGAGAATCTAATGATGACGGGCTGGTTAATGTCTAATTGGAGTAGAAAATGAGTTCTTCCTTCTATTTGTGAATTTATTCGTTTTGCTTTTGTTTGACATTATTGCTAATGCTCTAACGCTAATTCTTAGTGCTTTAATCCCTTTTAATGATAATCTACATATTAGATTACACACAATTATGATACCCATGATTTCACTTTCCTTATTTGAGAACGTAAAATATCAATATGTATTGGTATTGGTATACTGTAAATTATTTTACTTTATTTAGATATCCAGGTTGATTCTTATATAAAATTTTTACATATTCTTAAAGATATTTAGTATCAGGTATAAAATCATACCTATGACCATAAGATTTTAAATTTTTAACACACCAACCCCTACAAATACGTATTTATGATGAAAACTAACTTTGCGCTTCTAAATAAAAATGATAGCGCCTAATTTTGCATATAAATACACTTTCTAACTGAACTGGGCCAGGGCGTAGTCCATTTTTTCAGCATCACGTGATGTAGATCCTTCCCACAAAATTTGATTATTTTTAAACTTTGATCAATAATTCTCAACAACTACCTATCCAAATTCGATAAATTTTTTTTTTTAAAAAAAAAAAATTTCATTGAATTTAAATACGTAGATAATTGTTGAGAAAAGAAAAAAATTGCCTGATTTTACTTGATATATCGCTAGTAAAGGGAGCCGTAAAAAGAAAATCTGTGAATAAATAAGGAATAATCACTAATTGTTAAATGAATTCCACAGGATACGACGATAAAAGGTAGCTACATACCTATAATATAATCGTGGAATTCACGGATTCAGAAAAAACGATCTATAAAATTGATCTATTTAACTAAATCGAAAAGAGCGATAATAAAATTATAATATATAGAATTTATTCTGTATAAACCTATACTTAAATCCTAATATCCTAAAGAAATTCCAAATCCATTTAAACTCCGTTCCCATTTACAACATATATAGATATATAACTTAACTATATTCCTTGTTCATACTCCCCTAAATTAGAATTATAGAATTCTAATGCCGTTATATTCAAGTTTCTATCTTATTTTTAAATAACTTAATATAACTGTATTATAGAACTATAACGAAATTAATTCGTGACTTACCTTTACGTAGAAGATACCGTGTCATGTGACCTAATCTAACTCGAAAGATAAATGTGAAAATTCTACGTATCCTTTCTGTGTGTTACACGACTTTTAAAACTCGAGTTGATGGTTTATATGACCGAATTTTAAAACTCTGCTAGCGAAAGGTTACTGCGGATGGGTATTTTGTCATGCTTATTTTTTTTTGTATTTAGACATTGTTGTTTAAAAGGAGCTTTTAAGATAGGATGGTTAATTTACTACTGTATATAGTTAGTACTGTACGCATTTTGGATATGCAAAATCATCAAAAACTCCACACTTAGGTTACCTGTTACGGGTAGGTTACATGCCTGGTTACTCACTATTAAATTTTAGGTTCAAAATTGATCCAGATTTGTGTGCCCTATTATACGAGAAAGTCAAACATGACAAAATTGCTTGTTTTTCCGGTACGGGAAGGGGCAATCAGGGAAAAGATAATTAAATGATCCGAAGTAAGGGATGATGGTGACTTTTTCTGTAATTTCCTGGTATCGCTGGTTCTCTGTATATAAACTTTTATAAGAATTCTTCGAGTTGTTGGTTTTTAATATTTTTTTTTGGCGATAAAAAAATATAGTCGTTGTTTTATTATTATTTTTCCTGCTCCAGGGGAGAGGTTTTTTAGTTTTTTTCATTGTGAAATTAAAAACTGAGTATCTAAATTATTTTATCTACTAGAGAAGAATTTTAAAAATTTATATGTATTTTCTATTTGCAAAGTAAAAATGACGTGTGAAAAAAATAACTTGTGGAGAGAACTACAAGAGCCCAACTTTAATTAGTAGGGAAATTTACACGAAGGAGGCAGTTTTTTTAAAAAAATTTTTTTAGAATCTGTATAAAAATATATTAAACTATATACTTAAACTTTGTCTAAATAGTTTTAACAAGAACTTTCAACATACAATATATTAACTATTTTTTAATAATCTTAGGTTCAAGACCCAAGGCAGTAAATTTCTATTTCATTTTTATTTTAATCATTACAGCTCTATCTTTTATTTTTCAGTTACTTAAAAAAAGGGTTATTGTACTGTATATTGATATATAACACGACCAATGACGGCACCAATGTTCATTATGCAAAATATGCAATGCAGGGTCAAAATTTTCATTGCGATAGCACTATGGATCCAATATTCTAATTTCAAAGGCTAATTTCAGTCAGGCCTAACTTCAAACGCTTGAAGTTGCAACTTCAAGTAGATGCCAATTTCAAGCACGACAAAATATATTGACTATACGTATCATATTTTGCTTTTCAAAAAATATATCAAACTAGTTATTAAATACGTATTAAATTAGGATATACAGTCAACTCTGAATATAACGAACCTTCTATAATGAACTCTGAATACGTATAACGAATTCAAAAATAAGAATTCGGCCGTAATTTTCTATAAAGAACCTCCTATAATGAACTCTGAATATAACGAATTCAAAAATAATAATTCGGCCGGAATTTTCTATGATGAAACTTTTTTTTTATTTTCTCCTAGAATCTTCATTATTAGAAGAGTTGACTGTATACGTACGTACGTACGGACAGTACGTATCTGGTATGTATACATAAACTATTTTTATCATTACTGTACGCGGCTGACCGCCCTTCTCTACAGAAATGTCAGTAACTTCTATGTGCAGTACAAGAATATCAATGATATCTATATTAGTACGAACACAAATTTGGGGTACGTAGCGATAAAGCGAGTTAATTCAATTATGATTTACATACTGCATAAATTGCATTCTTGATATCTTTATATAAAAACTCATTAATTCTATCAAAAAGGTAATCTTAAACCCCACTCCGCTTTAATCGACCCAAATTTAGAAATAACAATATATAACGAGAGCTATGAATGAATGAAACATACAAACTTGAAGTACGTACGATACAAGAAAATTAAAAATCTCAATCGCCCTATATAGAAATAATTTCTTAAAGCTATCAACTAAATAAGTGGTCTAGAATCTCTTTGCATAGAAATAATTTTGCCAAGGAAATTACAATATGCACTTAAGAGCAACTATTATACGCATACAGAAATGAGCTGCTATTAAGAATGGCATATCTAGATCACTTCCCATGAGTCAGTTAGCCTTTATTCTATATAAAGGTTTAAATTTCACACACCATACACACTTATTGATACTAATCATTTAAGAAATAACTTGTTTATACTTGTCTCTATAAGGAGATTGTGGTTTTTATATTTCTTGCACCGTACAGTACGTACGTACGTACTTATACCAGGGCTAGTAATTTGCCGATCTGCATATTGTTTAAAACAGGGCTGAAACGATCTATAGTAAATAGTGGCCATTCGTAAAGTATCGATCTTGATTCATTGATCGCAATAGTTTAAATACTAATTACGAAGTATCAAAAAAGACATTTAAACAATGGATATCAGCGCAGTAATGGCCACTGTTTACCACAAATCAGCCCTCGGATCATATTTAATTGTTGTCTAGCAAATCAAATTTTAACATACTACAGATCAAAAATACTGTAATATATACTTTTGAATGACCAGTAAATAAATAGTAGTTTAAACCCTGACTTATAAAAATTATTGTTATGTTCATACGTAGGTAATTGAGTACCATTTAATTAGCATATAATTTTTAATGTTTTAAAGTTCTTAAGATTTAATTATATGTTGTAAATGAAAATGAAATTAAAGTGGATCCGGAATTTCTTAATAAAATTATAATTTTAGGGTAGAATTTATTTTATGTAAACCTACACCCTAGTCCTACCCTAATCCTACCCTAATCCTACCCTAATCCTACCCTAACTCTAAAATCCTAAGAAATTCCGGTTCACTTACAACAATTGCGAGGTCAAGCATTGAATTCAGATTAAACAAAGAATTCAATGTATGATGACATTGTAAATAAATAATTAACAATAAAAATAAAATAAATTAAGAAAATAATAAAATAAATAAATAAATAAAATAATAAAATAAATAAATAAATAAATACGTACATGTTTACAAAATTCTCATTGATTTTAAAAAGGTTAGTGATCTACGGGTGGCATTACATTAACCCTAGTGCTATTTTAGAATTAGCCAGGGCGGCCCCCCCAAAGTACTGTCACATGATCAATCTTCGCCAATCAGGAAATGATAATATACGA